TTTTCATCGAGGAAATCGTCCATTTCGCTTGATGTTTTCCCACAGAGGCATCGAGCATAGCCCTGAAAAACAGTAAAGAGAATGAATAAATATCGGCAATGTGTTTGATTCGAGAATCTCCACTATACTCTGTTTTTTAGGTTTTGGTGATATTTCTCGTCTCGCAAATATGAAAGTTCAAAGATAAGCGTACTGAAGAGAGAAGAGAGAAAATGGGTTCCTTGCCGATTCCTCATCGATATCCCTCGTAGACTGCTGCTTCAGTTCCGAGCTGGTATTACGGTAGAGACATTCGTGGGTAGGCGAGCTACAGTCCTCCTGTACATTGCACCTGCACTCACTGGTGTGGCCAGTGAGTGCAGGTAAGCCCACGATGGCCCACCCGTTCTACTCCACCCCTTCATGCAAGTGCTCTCAAGGTTCGTTAGAAATTGTTCAGTTTTAGCATATAATTTTTCAAAAAACCTCTTCAAGGAAATCGTGCCCTAGTGTGACCCTCACAAAAGGGAGCTACCCCACAGGAGAGAAATCACATCAGCTTTCCTCGGCTGAGTTCTTTACCGGCACCTAACCATCAGGTATTCTGGAGGATTACTTCAGTGAGGTCACAAGTAAAGTTGTCTACAGTCGAAATTGGTGGGCACGAAAATCACTGCAAGTGCTGAAGCCGTCCTTGAATCGGCAACCTGATAGGCTCAACATCCATCTAATTCTTACGATTAGTGTAAGTCTTGCTTGGGAACAAGTAATTTTCTTGAGTGCAACATAGGCTTGGATTGTATCTGATGTTCTTCAGAGCCCTTTCCAAGCTTTCGACTGGTTTACTTGATACTTGAATACATGGCGTTTCAAGATATAATCCATCAAAAACAGCAACTTCCCCATTTCGTTAATTTCCAAAGTCATATCAGTCATTCAACAAAGCAATTCATAAAGATACTACTAGATGATATCGTAGTATGATACCGGTTCGAAGAACGTCCCATGAAGGCCAACAGAACGCTTCGCCTTCGGAGATGCCGTGGAAGCACCTGTTGCAGCATCCGAATCTTTATCCTGCTTTCCTCCAGCTTTTTCCATGGCACCATCGAAAGCTGTCAGCTGAATGGAAACATCTGAGGTACACGAAATCATCGATATATTGATCGATAGCCTTACCGTTCTCTTCACTAAA